CGTATGTACAGCTTACAGGTCGTCGGCGTCGGAAGACCTGGTATCTCTTTGACGGGCATGAACCTGACTACATTCTTGACACTACTGAGTGTGGGGCTCGTAAGTTGTCTCATCTCTGGACGGGACGCACGGAGTTTGAAGTTGTGCGAAGGCGACCGTGAACTCGTGAAAGGCCTTGAGTCTCTATAGCGGGTCTTGTCTGTGCAGGAACTTAAGTGCTTCTGTATAGATTCTCTGGCTACTTTTCCACTTTTAATGCTAATGACACAGACCTCCTGAAGCCTGGCCGCTCGGAGGGTGATCCTTAGGATCCGTATTTCTTCGCTGCTCATGTATGCCCGTTATTTCTGAACTAGCTTACCCTATTTTAAATCCCAGCATAGCTGGGAGGGGAGTGCTAATGCTCACAGAGCATACCTGGCTAGTGTTGGGCAGAGACAGAGCTTGGAACATACCAGGCCAGTGTGGTGGACGGAGATCCAGCACCTTGCACACCAAGGTCGAACAGTTCACTGCACACTGAGGCCTTTTTAGCATCGAGAAAGGGACCGCGCCTTGGAAATCAGTATAGTAGTGTAGTAGTGTAGTAGTGTAGTAGTGTAGTAGTGTAGTAGTGTAGCAGTAGCAGTGTAGCAGTGTAGTAGTGTAGTGGTGGTAGTAGTGGCAGTAGTAGGAGTAGTAGGAGTAGCAGTAACAGTAGCAGTGGCAGTGGCAGTAGTAGTAGCAGTAGTCGTCGTCGTCGTAGTGGTAGTAGTAGCAGTAATCGTAGTAGTAGCAGCAGCAGCAGCAGCAGTAGCAGCAGTAGCACTAGCAGTAGCACTAGCAACAGCATTAGCAGCAGCGGCATCGGCAGCGGCAGCAGCAGCAACAGTGGTGGCTGTCGCGGACGCACAGCCGTGGTGGTGGTGGTGGCGGCGGCGGTGGTGGTGGTGGTTGTCCAAGTCGTCGGCGTGGTAGGACGATCCGCAGCAGCTGTGAGAAAGTTGGTGTGTGTGTGTGTGTGTGTGTTGTTCTTGTTACCGCAATTTCCTTTAGTTTTTGTCGTGTCGTTGAACAATGCATTGTTTTGCTGTGCAACACCAGCTCTTGTCTCCAGCAGACACCCACCAGCGCTGTTGTTACCACCGAGGTCGCACAATATCGCACTGTCCGACTACCGTCGGCTGCAAGCACGTGCCGGTCACCGCGGACACTGAGATGCAAACGGTGGTTTCAAGGTTTCAGGGTGCAGACCGGCTCAAACTTCTTTTGTCGCAGCTTCTGTCTGGCACGTGGCCCCACCAACCTGCTGAGCTGGTGAGGGTCAGTCATGGATACTTCATAAGGCGCCCTCACTTTAACTGTGAACAGCTTTTTGTCTTTTGGCGCACCCCTTTGGGATGATTAGTCTCGACAAAATGGTGACCGATATGATCGCCGATGTGCTGCATGAGAGAGAGTGCGAGAGAGAGAGAGGGGTAGGTATATTTGGACATCATTCGAAATTCGTGCTTTTTCAGAGTGGCTGCTGCTGGTGATAAGGCAACATCCGCCTGTAGTTGTATCTGGGAAACACCTGAATGACCTGTGTGCCGCCTGCCTGGTTACTTTGGTCATGGTTTAGGAGGGGTGTTCTTTGGGCGTCATCCAGGTGCATACACGGAATGGGCCTTTCAGACGAACAGACGCGAACCTTAAGGGTTGGCCTTCGCAAGAGAGAGAGAGAGAGAGAGAGAGAGAGAGAGCGAGAGCGAGAGAGAGAGAGAGACATCTCCAGTAATTTGCACTTTCCACGTTGAGGAGTCCCTGAACATGTCTATATTTTGCATGTGTCCTGGAGAGTGTACAATCACCTTCTTGCGTTAAGGCTTTAGCCTTCAGGTGATTTACACTCGTACTTCACTCCCTTCGCCCCAACAACAAGTTGGGTGGGC